AGTTAGTTGTTAGCAACTGGTCCTTAGACCGGGTGAACATTCCACCCCCTCAAATAAGGTGCGCGGTCATTGGGCCGCTTTTTGGTGGAGTTCACGACGGTGGTGGAGCTTAAAACTCTGACCACCTCACCCAAACATTTAAGGCTTGGGGTCGAACCATTGAGCCTAAAGATCTGGTTCAATTAATTTAAGGTATGCTAGAAGGAAACACGAGAAAGTACCGATGAAAAAGGCAAAGATTGACGTTGCCGAGAGACTTCATATTAGAACTTCTTTTTTTCGATCTTCCTTTATAGGACAACTTGATTTGAACTGAAAGCAGGATGTAATGAAATGAGAAAGATAATGAGGAAGTGAATTACAACATGCTTTGCCTCAGGGGATTTCCATTTGTAATCTTTGATTACTGCCATTAATAAATCTTCTTTTTTCTATTTATAAAAAAAAATAGAATAAGACAATGAAGAAAGTGAATTTCAACTAAAGTTGTCAATACTATACCGGCATGTATACCAGTTTTGTTACTGGAACAATACATACCGGATACTAGAATTTTTCACGTATTGTTTTAAATTTATCGTTATAAATATATATATTTATAAATTAAATATCAAATTTTAAAATAAGATAAGAGATACTAATATTTAAAATCATTACATTCCTATTAATTGAAAACAAGTTTAAAATGACCATTTTTAGTCTCTCAACTTCTAATATATGCATATTTTTCATCCATTTACTTTAAATTAAGGGACTAAAAATATGTATATTTAGACAAACTTAACGGAGTAATTGATAAAAAGACTAAAAAAATACATTTTTCATAGTTGATGGATTAAAAAGGTATATAAAAAAGTTAAAAGATGAAAATTATATAAAATATTAAAGTTGAGGACTAAAAATAAAATTTAACCTTTTAAAATTTGAATTGAGTTCTACAGGCCAATTTTCATGCATCAATTGGTACATCAAAATATTGGTCAGTACATCAAAATTTGATTAAAACGAATTTAATCAAAATAAAATTAGATCATATTTCGTTTTGATTTAATACAAAAATCGGTACGCACCGACCGTATTGACCGATTCGATAAGGTATCAATAACATTGATTTCAACATGCTTTTTGCATCAAAGGAAGCTAACCTAATTACTCGAACTGGTTTAAGAACATAGAATATAATAAAAGTAGAATGTGAAGGAAATTTTTGAATTTTTGGTCATTTAATTCTATTCATTTAATTAGAAGAAAAAAACTTTTATTTTTTACTCAGACGATTTTCTTATCAAAACACTTTTCTCTTTTCCCGCCAATTTTCACAAACTAAATTAAGTAGTATATACATTTAATAAAGTATAATACCTGGCTTGACAATCTTAATATGATTAAGGATGAAGAAGCAGACCTCCTTATTAAGTGCAGATCTTTGGTCTTGAAACAGCTGATATCAAGAGGGAAAAAAAATATAAATCATAAAACAGATGCAAATAGAAAAATGTATGAAAAGAGTTACATCTTAGGCTCCCCTTGACTTTCTAACGATTGCAAGTGTTGGGATAATAGTTTCAGCCCAACAAGTTGGCTTAGTAAACCCTCATTAAAATATGAGGCGAGCCGTTGTTCAAGCCCAAAATATATAATAAAAAGACGGGCTCTATATTTATACAACAACAACAACAACAACAACAACAACAATAATAATAATAATAATAACAACAATAATAACAATATAATAAGAAGAAGGAGAAGGAGGAGGAGGAGGAGGAATAGTTAGGTTTCCTAAAGTCTAGCAAAGGTAGGAAACTTAATAATATAAATACTAACCCTAAGAAAGTAGTAAGATGAAATCAATATTGTACAAAGTTTTGATATCGAAAATATTATAATTATAATATTACATAATATTATAACCTTATAATATAATATGTTGTTATATATTTGATGAAATATTTAATTTGCTAGCACATGATGAAGAAAACGTAATTAACAACATAAGAATTTCTATAGTGCAAAGATTTGTACCTGCAGGTTTTGCCTCTATATGCTTGATGACCCTTGTATCTTTCTTCTGTTCAATTCAATATATTAATTTCTCATTTTGCTGATAGAAAAAATGCTGATTTAAAGTTGTGAATATATATATATATATATATATATATATATAGATGAAGAAAAGATGTCTTACTGCTGGAGAAAGAAAGGAATCCCAGAATAACCAAAGGCAGAAGCAAATTAACAAGAGGGATCAATTTCCTCATCCTTTTGTCCAAAGAGTAAAGCCATATATGAAGAGGAAAGAATTTTCAAAAGGAGAAGTAAATGCAAAGAATTAAGTCGAAAAAGGTGTCCCAACCGATAGCCTCACTATTTTACAAAGAGGAAGGAAGGTATAAGATTTAAATGATGAAAAGAAAAACAGATGAATACTAAAAAGATGTGCAGGGCTATAACTTTTATAGTAAGGACCCCTTTTTTTTTTTTTTTTTTTTTTAGAAATATAATAAGGACTTAATTAATAGAAAGCTTCACATTTTAAAGGGAATAAGTAAATGGTGGCATTGCTTTTGGTTAAGGTAAGAACACATATCTTCGCAAAGGAAATGCCTTCCTGCACCTCAAGTTCAGCCCCCACTAAAGAATCGAATAGCATCATTTCAGATGGGTCGACATGATCGTTCTGATTTAAAGAAACGAGATGAGCGTGCTACATCGTACTGATAACTCCAACACAGACGTGTGGGGGTTGATAACCAAGAAAAGACAGGAAATAATTATAAAATTGTTATTTAATCACTCCAAGTTAAGTCTAATAGGATTCTACATAATCCAAACCCAGTTATGGTTATGTAAGGGTAAGTCCAGAACTTCCCGCTAAAATAGTTACACGGCTGTTACGATGGACATCCTTGTATATAGATATATCTCAATCTCCTGATCCCGAAATAACTGCTTGGAGATACATATCAAATCCCGGATATTTTGCTTAGCTCAATCTCCCGGTCCCGAAATAACTGCCTGGAGATACACATCGGATCCTGGATTTCTTGCTTGGCATCTTGATTGGCATGCCGCGTGGATTCTGCATCGGAACATATAAATACCTTTTAAGGGCCACGCCAAAAGGTAATTGAGACCAACCCCAAGCTCCTTGTATCTCCGCTTCAAAGGTAACTCCGATTATTGCTGACTTAAGCATCGGAGTGTCTACCCCGAGGATCCACCTCGGGGCTTTGCAGGTCAATCTAGAGTGCAGATACGGACTGAAGAAGGACTTCCGGTTTGGTGCAATTATAGGTTAGCTACTATCTTATCCCATTGTTTGAAGATTCGAATTATATGTAGTCCTTTCATGGCAGCATTTGCACCCTAGAGTCCTCTAGTACAAACCTGGCACTCCCTCCAACCAAAGATACTGTTACGCTGAAGATTTTTAGGCATACAACCTTTTTGTCAATGTTTAGTTGCTCTTAACTAACATATAAGATAATATTGTTCCTGATCCACCTGGTTCTTATAATCTTTCTCTTATTAGCGAAGAAAGATATATATAATGAAATGGGAGTATAAGCAGTACTCCAACGCTTTACATTGAGATTATGCCATTAGTGTAAAACAACTCAAAACAGGAAGTCAAGTGCTGGAAATCAAAATATAAGCGAGCGATCATTCGGGAATGAATAAACTTGTGAAGGGACCAGTTTCCGTAGCTGAAAGCGGCTCCTTTACTCTTCCTTTTATCCAAATGAATAAACTTGGTAATAGCGAATTTTTGTCGAAACAATTATGCTTTACGGTACAAATTGAAATTTCTTCTAAGCTGCCTTACAATTCACCTTGTCAGGTGCAAATTACGAACCACCAATTTATGTTGAGTGAGCCAACCAACATTGCAAAAGATGGTTGAAGATTATGTGAGATTGAGCATAGATCATGTATATTATTACTCTCTTTTTGTATCTGAAATCTCTTGTGGATTCATAAAGGAGGTTATTTACAAAAGCTGTTCATACTGCATCCTAGTAAAGGAAGGGGAAAATCCGGAGGCAAATTGCCTACTTTGGAGTTTGGATTTCCCATTAAAAAACAGAAATTGTAGATAAACATGAATTAGGAATATTGTCCAATCAAAAGAAGGAATGTAATCCAGTGAAGAATGACAGCTAGGAAGAATAAATTAACTTCATTTTGCCCAAGTCAACTCTTTCTAAGAATGATAAGACATTGCCTTGCTTTCCTTGCTGTCTATTTGAGCGTTCGGTGTTCAAAGGTGCTATGAGTTTGATGTCTCTCCATGAAACGGTTCCCTGATTCTGTTGCTTGCAGATTACTGGCGACCCAAGGTAAGATTCTTCTATACTTTCTCTTTGAGGACACTTTCCTTGCTTGTCTTGTTTCTCGCTTTGCTTCCCAGATTAGTTGGAGCAGTGAGACTTCTTGGCTCCACAGGAGGCCTGCATTTAAAGACCAAACAGTTAAAGAGTGCGATTGTTACAACCTAGCTTATTTACAATCCAAAACAGGAAAAATGAAATCAACTAAAATAGCAGGGCCCTGTAAACTAGCCTCCAATTGCTTGAATTAATCAGGAAAAAAGGCAAAAAATTAAAGATAGCTAGAAGCACTCCATACCTAGTAAAGTCAGGATGAATGCAGGTCATTCAATAATGAACAAGTGTTTTGCAGAGTCCTCTTTATTGCTCTGGTGACCATGATATCTTTTCCTAAGACCTTATATTATTGTAATATTAAGTATGCTTTAGTTTCTTTATTAAAATTTGGGCAGCAAAGAAGAGGAAGAAATGGAGAAATCAAAATCATTTATCTGAACACAAATATGGTTATTGAAGAAGTTCAGGATGGTGTCATCCACCATCCAGTGCAGAATTAAAACCAATATTTAATAACAAATTAAATAACTATCAGCAGGATTAAAATCAATGATGAGCAGAATCAGACGGTAAAATGATTAAAATTTGAAAAATCTATGCGCCTAGAAGACCAGTTATAGAACACAAAGGCCAAAGCAGAACTCTTAAAGGTACAAAGCATGAGTATTGGTACCTTCTGTCCCTTCCTGTTGCCTACCACCATTAGAAGCAATCTTAAAATCAACACGATGAGCATCATGATCAGTGTCCCCTTCTTCAATTGCTTCACTACCATCACCACAAGCAGGAGCATCTGCAATAAGTAAAGAAACAAAGGAAAGAAAAGAAAAAATCAGCTAAGAGTCCATGGAAAGAAGAAATTAAGTATCAGAATCACTCCAGTAATGTGAATTCCAAATTGTAATGTATAAAGTTTGGTTTATAATTTATTAAATGCATATAAGAATCAGTTTAGACAATGATGCTACCGCTACTGCCTACGGATAAGGAAACAAATTATTAGAATTCAGAATTGAATTATTATATCTTCTGGTGGGAAACTGGATTTCGATGTTGCAGAATCACAAACCCATATATTTGCTAATGAACCTGCACCTCCCAAGTGAATATGCAATATAAGATAAAAGTAAAAATTGAACTTAGAAAATTGTTCAGAATGAGATCGTATGCCATTTTGATAGAAAATCTGACCTATGAATTTGGATCCAGTAACAAGCTTTATATGGACTTGAAGGACTGCTCTTCAACCTAACTTATAGGAAACCTGAAAATAATCCTAATTTTATTAGAAAATTTCACTTGTGTAGAACTTTAGGCTTAAGAAACTAAAAAACATGTTATATTATTATTATTGTTATTATTGCGGGTGAATATTAATATTAATTTGAAGGGTAATTTAGGATCAAAATACAGATACAGATAGAAAATGAATACAACAAAATCAATACTCACTAGTTGAAGTTTATGACACCAAAATCAGAAATGATACCGCTTAGGAGTACCTCGAGTTCATCAGACGCCGAACCTGGGACTCTTCCTGCCAATGGCCAACAAATTTTTTTTCATTTCAATGGTCTCACTTCCAACTCAGAGAAAAGAGGTAAATTTAAATATTCTAATTACTGATTATCAAAAATTAAACAACTCAATAAATTTATTAGAACCAACTACTGAATTCTCTAAAATCTGAACAAAAATAACCATACCTAGAAGGAACCCATTTAAGAAAAAAAGAAATCTCTAAACAAACAAAGACCAGCCACCAAAAATCCTAACAGAAACAAATCATTTCAGAACATTTGTAGTAGATTTTGGAATTAACAAAATGGAACAAGAAATATAGGAGTTAGACTTAAAATCATAGTAATTAATACATAGATTAAGGAGATTTGATTCCACATATAGTACCCAGTTTGGCGAGAATCTCAGACGAAATTGGGGAAGCAGAGGTTGGACTCGACTGGATCTCGTTCCATCCGGCATCCAATTTCAGAATCAGAACAACAGGATTGGACTGAGGAGAAAGGAGAAAAGAAGGGTTTTACTGGCACATGCTATTCAAGGCCGCACGTGACTTACCTGAACATGTCAGGTATAGACACAAACGGAATGTTGCCGCTCATCCTGGCCGTTTGTTAGTGCCGCTGCCATGGCATAGAAGGAATGTTGAATAAACCGGGAAATTTAAGTTGACGATTTCTTACTCTGGATCATGATCGTTTATTCCCTTCGGTTCAACCTCCAAGAGCCAATTAAGCAACAGAAATTGTTTCCTTCCATCTAGATTGCAAATGATAGAAAAGAAATTGGAAAACAAATAAAATAAATAAATACACGAGATAGCGCATGAGATGAAATCAACATTCTTAAAATTAAAATTGAATACTTAATCAATCAACACCTTACCCCCTTAATATGTATTTCAAGAAAGGTTGAAGTAGGTTCTTATGATCCCACTCCACTGATTCCCACCATTCTTCTGAGTCATCATCTATCCTGATTTCTCTGAGATGAGGAGGAGGAGATGGTTGGCCATTATCAAGCAGGGGAAGCTGTATAGGGATTCTCTTTAACTCAGGACATCTCATTATCCAAATTACTTCAATAGAATCACAAGTCAAAACTCCTTTGGCACTGCAGATGCTCTTCAGTTGGGGTAAACTCCTCAAGCACAATCTCCTTAACTTGGGAAAAGTGAATTTATCCAATGATGAATCTGAATCTGATGATGCTATTATCTCCTCCATTTGTTCGCACCAATGAACACCAATCTCTTCTAAGTTTTGGAAGGCCTGCAACAGCTCAAGTGGAAGCAACTTCCTCATTCTTGAACAAACCCAAATATGAAGGATTTTAAGATTGGAAAAGACGTGCGATGGTGTTGCTACTCCTACTCTCACAAGTACACTCAATTTAGGCAATCCCCAAAGAAACAACTCTTCAAGCCTATCCAGTACCGGATAGGAGGATGAGTCCAAGTCAACCACACACTCCATATCTTCACAATCCCTAATACCACAGCAACTCAACTCGGTTGCCTTTTCTAACAAAACTGCTTTATTTAAGCTGCTTCTCATCTTTTTACACTCCTCGATCACCAAAGTCTGAAGGTTATCTGGAAGCACTATACATTCTTCTCCTAAGTTGCAATGACAAATGCTAACCACAGGTTTCTTTCGGTTAATCATCCCCATCACAACAGAGAATTGTAATCCTACTACAATCTCATAATCAGTAAGAATTTGGAAATCTTGAGACTTCACAAAATAATTGTAGCCCTGTATGTCATCGAATACACCTTGAAAGGTCTCCAACTTGCTCAATCTCACAACCTCTTCTCTTTTTATCTTCAATTCTCCATAAACTAACAAGTATTGGAGATTGGAAAGATTTGATAACATTCTCATTGGAATCTGTTCTAGATTTTGACAATAACTTAAATCAAGATATTCCAGACTAACCAATTTCTCCATGCCTTGAGGGACCACCTCAATCCTGGATCTACACAGATCCAACTTCTTTAATGCCCTAAGCTTTGCAAAAGAAGGCAAATACTTTAAACTGTAACACTTCTTTAACCTTAGGGAAGAGAGCTTTTCCAAGTTTGAGATGGAATTAGGTAAAGCTTCAATACCAGTTTGAGAAAGATCAAGAACCTTTAGTTCAAGCATCCCTTCAAAGAAAGATTCTGAGATCTCTGACAAATTACGATTATTTGACAATATTAAAGTTGAAAGAGTTGGACACTTTGGGCTCAACCCAAGGGGAATTTTTGATATGTTATTCTCCATCAGAGACACCTTCTTAAGATCATTTCCCCACCCATGCTCATCTGGTACCTCTATCAATTTCATACTAGCTTTTACCATATATCCAAATTCAAGACCAATGCTTTTGATAGCCATGTCTCTCATTACATCATGCATCTTGAAAGCATCATTACCATGCCAATCAACAGTTTTCTCTAACAAGCAATTCTTTACAAGCATATTTAAAATGGTACGACCCTTAGCATAAGCTGCTTTTCTGCTAGCCAACCCATCAGCTAGCCCTTCATCAATCCACCCTTCTATCAACTCTTCTCTGTCAAATAGATAATCTTCAGTAAACAAGGAGCAATAAAGAAAACAATTTTGGATTTCAGAATTATTTAAACGATCATAGCTAAACCTTAGCTTCTTAAATATCTTTTGATCTGAACCAGTCACACTCTTTACCTGTTCTCGCAATTCATTTAAGGCATTCTTCCACACTTCAACATCATCTTCTCCCTTCATACTTTCTGCTATCACAACAATTGCCAACGGTAAGCCACCACACTCCTCCACAATGAGCATCAAGATTCCTCCTAAATTTGGTACTTGTAGAACATGACGCCCAACTTTATCTAAGAATAAGTTAAGAGACTCCTGAAATGAAAGAGGTTCCACTTTGACTATTTCACAGTCCATTTTTTGGCACACACCAATGGATCTACTAGTGATGACTATTTTGTTTCCATTCTGAATTGTTGGTTCTGGAATTCCCACTTCAATAAGAGAAAACACTTCCCAAACATCATCTAGGATAAGCACGTATCTTCCTACTCCTTCCATAATGCTTATCAAAGTAGCTGCTCGCCTCACTTTATCCTCACCTTCTGGGAGTCTCAATCTATCATCCATAGCACGAGTAATGTTTTCTTGTAATTTGATAACATTGAGTGGGTAGGTAACAGTGACCCAAATCACTTTTTCAAAATCGGTCACTCTCAACAATTCATTATGAATATGCTTCATGATGGTAGTCTTCCCAACCCCACCAATCCCACAAACACCAATCTTTTTGACCTCACTGCCCATCAAGTATCCCCAAATTTTTTCTTTTGTAGAATCTTTACCCACTACATTCTCAGTTGGCAGTTCGATTTGTTGTCGAGGTTTGTCAACTGTGAAACCATCAGGAAAACTACCTTGTTCATAGATTCTCTTCACCACCTCAACTTTCTTCCGAGCAAGTTTCCCTAGAAGGCCCTTTGAATACCACTTAACTCTCTGAATCTTTTCTTCAATAGCTTGCACTTCATTGTTGATTTCTTCTACACATTCAAGCCAACCTTGCACTTCATGTTTCATTTCTTTTCCCAAAATAGCGTCGGATTCTATGCTTAAATTTATATCCTCTTTTCGCCTGTTTAGAGCTTTCAATTCTCTTCTTAGATCACTCACAGCTTCATCAAAATTTAAGTGATAATCTAAATAGGTGCAGGCTGACCTCCCTAAACACTTTACCAATTCCATGATAGGCTCTACTAGAAGCTCCATTGAAGAAGACCCTACAAAATGAAACACCATGTGTATCAGAATGTATACAACAACTTCAAAAACAATGAAAGATATAGGAATAACTAATGTTTAATAGATGAAAAAGTGAGGCCAAAAAGAGTTGGGAAAGTTGTCACTAACTCTTTTTATCACTCAGCTCGTCAGATTAATTAATTTGTATTCAGTTTATTTGTTTGTCATGTATATGATTTGAGTTTTCTCCTTCATCAA